CTCTCTCTCTCTCTCTCTCTCTCTCTCTCTCTCTCTCTCTCTCTTTCTCTCTCTTCGGTTGGTGGTTCTGGGTCGACATCGTTTGCAGCTCTATGAAGGTCTCCTTCATCCACTACCTCTCTAGTCGACCCAACCCCGCCCAAAATTGATCAATCTTTTTCATGTTATGGGTTTCTAGGGTTTCCATTGAAATCACACAAATTTTTCCATTTCTTTTGTTAATTTCAATTTGGGAATCTCGGGTTTTAGATTTTATTTTCAATTTTTTCAATTTGGTAATTTAGGCTTTCTAATTTTAATTTCATTTTTTTAGATATTAAAAATGGTTAGAGTTCAATACCAAACAAGTTTTTAGATCTTAAAATCACTATTTGAAAACTCATTTTTTTTATAAAAAGAATCATAGTTTTTTATTTTAATGTTTTGAGTAGGATACCAAACTGGTCTTACTTTTTTCATTATTTCTTCTCTCATTTAACTTTTACACGTTTTTGTTTCCTTTTTTTGTTTTTTGTTTTTTTTTAATAGAGTTGTTTAGTTTTCCTATATTTCCTATCGAATGAGAATAATAGCGTTTGCAACAAAACGGTGAATAGCATTTGCAATTTTCTTCAGCAACTCATTTCTCAATTGTTGGTTTTGTTCTTCCCGAACAACTAATTTTTTTCTTATTTCTAAAATAGCATATATACAAATAATAAAGCAAACTCAGCCAGCCTAAAGCATAGAAAAGGGTTTTTATGGTGAAATGACTAAACAACAAAAAATATAAGTGTCTTGAAAGTGACTCATTCTCATACAATTCATAGCAAACTGGCTGTCTTGAAAGTGTTCATCCTCACTGATTACAAGGGTCGTAGAGACTTGATCTTGATCAAATGGGTAGCACAAGGCTTGTTTAGTGATTGGATTTTTCTAGGGTGGAGGAACCGGCACCTATTTGTTGTGCTTGGTGACTCTTCCAAAGTGGGATGAAGAATGCAAAGAGTTTTTTGATTCTTCTGAGTGCTTCGTCTATCTAAGAGTCCTTTCCTTTGTCTTGAGGCCTCCTATTTATAGGCTCCTGTAGGATTCATGATCTAAATAGCTTTTCTTCTTTAGGACCTTGCTTTGTGGGATTTTGATTTAATTTAAAATCAATTCCAATAATTTGGCAATATAACCAAATTATCTTCAATTGATTGACTTGATTAATATTTGATTTAAATCAAAGTCAATTATAGAAGATTCTTCTCTTTAATTTTGTCTTCAATTTGAACCGTTTGATGCACTCTGCCGGATGTCGACACGTGTCATCTTTGACAACTAATTCAATTTTGATGAGTCATATGCCACGTGGGTGAATCAGGAGGCCCGCAATTCAATCCACCAAACCTTAAATATTTTCTTATTTTAGCAAAATTTAATTCGCCAAAATTTCTTTGTCTACAAACTCATTTCTCAATTGTTGGTTTTGTTCTTCCGGAACAACTTATTTTTTACTTCTTTCTAAAATAGCATAATATACAAATAATAAAGCAAAATCAGCCAGCCTAAAGCATAGAAAAGGGTTTTTATGGTGAAATGACCAAACAACAAAAAATAAAAGTGTCTTGAAAGTGACTCATTCTCATTCAATTCATAGCAAACTGGCTGTCTTGAAAGTGTTCATCCTCACTGATTACAACTATATCTAATAATCTGAGTAACTAAACTAAATCGTTATCCCAATGAGGCAATTTCGAAGCTGAACTCAACTTAATTAGGTGGTTTGGTTGGAACTTGGTAAAGGGCTCCTCCTCAGCACACCAGTCAATAACTTGTATTAAACGGAAATAATCTTGGTCTTACCTAATCAGTTGCAAATGTAACTACTAATCTGACTTTTAGTGACTAGACTTATACATAAATGAATCATTAATAACATCGAGGGGATCAACTTTTTTCTAACTTTACTCATCAGCTGATGTTGACACTAGGAGACCCATTAAGAGAAATATATTATATGTATATGTATTGTCGAATAAGGTGGAAATGGCGGTGACATGCATGCATGGATGAGTTTGACGTGTAATAATATGGTCAAAAGCTTAATTAATTATCTCATATTATGCATAAGTTCAATTTGTAATTAATTATCTGATATTATGAAATAGAATTGAACAATTCTGCAGTGAAAATGGAAAATTCCTTAGCTAAAAGTTTACAAGAATTCGGAGGTATATATCTTTTCACATAGGTATAGCTACATACATGTATTATCAGTTCAGAAGCTGCATCATCAAACAATAATTATAACCTTAAAAAAAATAAACCTTATTAATGAATAATGAATGCAGTAAATTTTGTGTAGGAACTTCAAAAGTTCTTCAAATTTATAAGGGCGCGGCTATAGATCATGACGACGGCATTTATGATATTGATCTGCAAAACAGAAAGAAAAATGTTAATTGTTGTGTAAAAAGGAAGCAAATATATCAAGTGAAAATTTGGTGTAGAATTGATTATTAAGAATGTTTATACCAAAAATAAAGAAGAAATAAAAATGAAGAAGTATTTGGGGGGAATAATTATAATGAAAACCTACTCTAGAATATTTTTCCAGTAGGATTCACTGGTTTCATCATCCATGAGCTTCTCCCAAGCCTCAAAGATGGTGGTGGGAGAGTGGGTGGAGAAGCAATCTGCTGCAGGATCACCACTCATGCTATTTTCCATTTGGTTGGTGTTGGTGTTGCAAGAAGTCCCAGGAGATGCTGAAACTAATGCAGGAAATGGGTTCTTGGTCTGCAGCATATCTTCATAGTAACTGCTCATGTTGTTGTCAAAAATAGGAATATTACTATTATTATTGCTAGTATTATGTCCTTCAAAGCCTTCCAATGAATTGGCTTGCCCTCCAAATTGGTTGAGATTTTGATAACCAAAAGTGCTCATCATGTCAATATTAGGAAGTGGAGGAGGAGGAGCAGCAGCAGAACTTGATGAGTTCACAAACTGCATGCATAAATGTTGCAGTAGCTGCATTTTGGCTAGTTGGGCCGCTCCTGCTTGTAGCCTCAGGCTCAGGGCATTGTCCCAAGAACTCATATTCATCTGCCCAACATTTGCTGCTCTGAGCAACTGTGAAAGATTCAGAAGGTGATTGAGGTCAGTCCTTGGCTTGTGGGTGTTTGGATCAATCCCCATGTGTAGCAGCTTCTTTCTCAGGTGTGTGTTCCAGTAGTTCTTGATTTCATTATCCGTTCTCCCCGGAAGATGAGTTGCAATCTTTGACCACCTAAAAGAAAAAAAAATTAACACCACCTTCAATTTAGTTGAGCTCTAATTTCATGCAAATTATAGTTTTGCAAAATTTTCTATAAGTAACTTTACAAATGGAGAAAAGCTAACATACTTGTTTCCAACAACTGAGTGAAGATTGATGATAACTCTTTCTTCGTCTTCAGAGAATTTTCCCCTCTTAATATCTGGCCTGAGGTAATTTGTCCACCTTAGTCTGCAACTCTTGCCACACCTGTTCAGGCCTGCAAGCTTGGGGAGAGCTCTCCAGCTTCCATGGCCATGTCTAGCAATATAATCCATCAATTTCTCATCTTCCTCTGTGGTCCATGGACCTTTCTTCAAACCACTCTGTTCATCACAAGAAGGGGATCTGCCCATTGTGCTAATACACGCAAAACAATATCCAAATTGGAGATGGAAAGTGGGACAGGGGAAAAGGTAAGAGGATTGTTTGATTGTAGGATTGGTTTTGGACATATTGCTGAGACATGCTGGTTTTATAGGTGCAAGGAAGATGTAATTCAAATGGTGACGTCATTTCATTCTTTTTTATCATTATGATTTATCTCTTAGCTCCCTAGAACAAGCAAATGACGACTGGCCAGGAAATAACCTAGCAAGTTAGCAACCATTTTGAAATAAATTGGCACCAAAATCAGGATTAGGTAGTGCAAGTGTCGTCGTCGAATGGAGACAGTAACATCATGGATAAATTATTGTAAAATTCTCTAAAGCCACCAGTCAGATTTGTATTCAATATAGAATGCCATCGCCGTAAGGTGGCGTTCCTAGGATTTAAGGTTTGGATTATGTTTTTCTTTTGTCTGAACAAAACTAAAAGGCAACATGACGAAAAGTAAAAGATATGAACTATTACAGAGTGTGTGCTACTGCAGAAGATGTGCTGTCCTTGGCTGTTGTTGGTCACATAGTAAACAAGTATTTCAGTTGAGATTCCAAAGATATATCTGATAATTTGTCATTTATTTCCTGGAATTGTAATGTTTATTTTTGTTATTGAGAAGTTATGTCACCATATGGGGTTCTCATTAGTTCTACCCAAGGAAGATACAGCAGCATCCATAAGTTTTCCATGTTGTGCTTGGATTTTTAGCTGGATGGCTTTGATGTCATTCCTAGTTAATGAAAAATATAAATAAAAAACAAGCCCTGGTTTGAAAAACCGATGAAGATGAACAATATAGAGCACGATTCATTACAAATTCTTTAAATGATGATGCATTTTCTTTTGTACCAAACAAATTGTTCATGATTTATGTGTCATCAAAGTAATACTGAATCCTATCAACCAGTAAGGAATTCCCGAGTCTAGCTATGCAGCATCAGCGTCTAGTATTACCGGAGGCTACCATAACATAGGCAGCTCTGGTAATTTCAGTTTAGTTTGTAGTTTTTAATAAAGATATATCTACCTGTTTTCAATTTGCATCACTGGTGCCAATTCTTGAGCCTTCCATGGTATTAAATACATTGATCATTTTGTTCTTTTCCTAGATTCAGTTTAGGTCATTGATTGATATGCTGCTTCTTAAAGGGTTTCATGGCAGATGCATTATTATTCAATTGCTCAGAATTCAATTATTTGACAGCCTAAAATATGATGATGGTTCTATTTGTCATCTTTTTTTGTTTCTTCATGTGTTATTGATGTAGTCTCTGACAGGGAGATTCTAGGGGTGTTGAGTCATGCACAACCTCATTACTATGTAATAAAACTTAGCTGATTTCTATTATTCTTCAATTTAATTATGCTAATCTTCATGCCTCATCCTAGCGGTCATCATTTTTGTCATTTTCTTTCTGGTTTAACATATGATGTTCAAAGTTGTGTTCTAAAATATGTAGCAGTCTCCAACTGCTCTTTCAAATCTTACCATTGCATAGTTGATCACCCATTTACCAAACATTCTCCTCCTTCCTAAAACCAAAAAGTGCATTGATCCCCCTTCAGTTTACCACACAAAGTTTTGAATTTTCACTTATTCAAAATTCGACACGTCCAATGCGCACGTTTAAAACATTGACCTTCTAATGAAACCTTAAGTAATAGAACAGATTAAAGACATGAGACATTCAAACAGTTTAGCTGAAGACTAAACCAAATTGACAGTAATTTAGATTGAAAATTCATTTTTAGTTTTGCCCCCGGACTATAGAGGTTTATGACACTTAATGTTTTGTTATGAGAAAATATTATCTTCCCTGTCTTTTCAGATGGCCAAGAAAAGTTGAAACTGTGCTGCTAAGGCTTCTGCAAATTAGCTTATCTTTTACACCAGACAAGTTAACTGGTCAAATAATTTTAGTCAATTTATTATTAAATTACACCTTGATCCATATATAGTATTAGCTCGATTTAAATTTAGTTCTTGTAGTTGTAATTTCAGTGTATACTAATTAATCTGGTCAAATGTTATACTTTTATCACAACTGCTTGGCCAAAATGATTAAAAAGTGAACACATTTACCCTTCTCTTGTTCCTATATTCAACATTTGATTCTATCACATTGGTTTTTCTGCCTTGATGAACTTAAGGCAAAATCTTCTTATGCATATTTTTCATCAGCTTACTACTGCAACAGAAATGTCAATTTTCACCCCTTTGAAAGCATTTACATACAGTAAGAACTGCATGGACTAAATTTCAATTTTTTTCTTACCCAACAATTAAAAAAGATAACTCTAAAAACTTGTTAGCAGAACTGATTATGAGAGTTGTATATATAACGTCCGGAGAACTGATAATAACGTCTGGATGTCCGTATAGGAGAATTTATGTATATAGTTATAGGATGAATTAATTTAAAAGCAAATTTACATGCTAAAGCAGAAAGCCATTGTTAAATATTTGCAGAAGATTTGATTGTAATTGTATTACAAATTTTGAATGACAATGGCATGACAATATCAAACCAACCAAGTGGAAGAAATATTTGTATGAAGAAAAACAAAAGTTTTAGATATCATTGTGTGCTAAAATAGAATTCAGTGCACTTAGCCTTTGCTCCACTCCAAATAAAATATAAAATAGCTTGGACTCAATGTAAAGGATGTGTAATATGTTTGACCTTCCCAAAAATGTTTGACATTTGGTAGAAGATCTGAGTTGGTTTTGACCTCCGCTTGGTAGCTCAAGGTATTTTGTAATTTTCAAAGTGTGACATAATGCTTCTCATTGGTCAAAAGGAGCAACAAAAAGGACACCAAGATAAAGCCAGAGGATTTCTCAACCTTTCTTACCTCATTGCCTTCCTTGAAGCAAGAAAACTCTGGAAAATATTGACAGAGTTTGAAAAGAACAATTAATTAAGCATCCCTCCTATATGTTGACCTTTTCACATGGATCATTTGCAAAATCTTCCAACTGGGATTTACTTAATAAACTTGGTTTCCTCAACTTAGAAAGAAATCTTAGACAGATGTATGATTGAGATTACTCCACGTATTTCTTTTGATTAAAAAAAAATAGTAGGGGGTAGAGAGAAGAAAAAATCACTGTGACTTTGTGGGAAACTACACAGAGGGTTCCTTGTTTCTTCTAAAGAGGGACCATTTGTATTTGCAGCACAGCTAATTTTTTAGTAGGACAAGAAATTTAAAACAGCATCTAATTAGTTATTGTTTGACAAATGTTTGTTTGTTTTCCTGGGTTATGATTATATTAAAGACTAAAGATTAACTTTATATTTCTCCGGACATCCCTAACTGGTTTGAAATTTGCATTGGAATATATTTATCTTAATAGGGTACTTATTCATAGGCCAGAATAGCCTTCGTTTTCAAATCTTTTTCTTATTGTCCGTTTTAACCTTTTCCTCTCACATAAGGAGCATATTTTACTGGAAACAACATATTTTCATGTATTAATATGCTCATTTCAAGTGTATAACTGAGCCGGGTAATGGGGAGCAATAATTTTAGGTCAACAACCAATTTAAAGTTTATTTTTAATCTCTTGATACGATTTTGGTTTGCATGCGTACAACCCGAAACGCCATACCATTACTGCGAACAACCCGTAACCCTATCAAGGGTGAATCATGTAAGGGGGACTTTTGATTCAACCCAAAATGAGTGAAGTATTTATAAAGAAGGATAAAATTATAGTGTTTGGACAATAATGCCCTTATTCATTTTTATATTGCCTAAGGAGTCTGTTTCTTCTTTTCAGATGATGCCAAGGGAGTTTTGCTTCCTGATTGCCGTATGGAGCCTAAAAGGTTGGAACTTATACTTCATTTGCTGAGATGATCCTTCATGTGAAATGAAATTCATGATGCTTCTTCTATCATGAGGTCGTCATATGGAGTTATGCTTCCATCATGTTGTCTAAGCTTTTGGTAATAATTTTTATACCAGGATGTGAATTATTTTTTAAATTAAAAAGAAAAGCTTGAATGTATAACTGAAGAGATATATTTTGCTCATATTCTAATCTAATCATATGACTCTTAATATCTTCTGGTAAAAATCTATACATTTCTCTAGCTAGGGTTTGAAGAAAATATGGGTGTTTAGTTTTTGCTCAAGGGAAAATTCTCTATTATGCTCAAGTAAGTTGGGCTTATTAGCCTCTTTTTCTTGTAAAATCATGCTTAAATTTTGACATCTTAAATTAATAATTCTAAAATTTCTTACTATTGTATCATACTCTTTCTTTTGATATTAATGTTTTTAGTGCAAAAAAGAAAGCTCTTTTATAATATGGGGCAGAGGTACTCTAGGGCTTGAGGTGGCCCTAGCCCCCCATAATTTGTTCTCAACACAGTAAATGTTGGGCTTTAGTTCATATATTTAACAATGCAAACCATACAACCATTCTAATGGTCCCCATTGCAATCCATAATAACTTCATTTATAAATATGTAAAATATTTTTAGGCCCATTACACAACTGACATACAAAAAGAAAAGTGTTAATCCTCTAATAATCAAATTGATAAGCCAAATAAATAGTTTAAAGGGAAATGAGATTTTATCAAAAGATTTTTCCGTTTTGATACATGAAATTGAGTACAAAGTTCTTTAAAATGTCCATTTTTCCATATATATATATATATATATATATTTTATTGATGTATGATTGATTTTTTATTTCTATACTTGTATTATGGTTCGGCCCCCTCACACATATACAATCTTGGCTCCGTCATTCTTTATAATCATAATTATATGCTAAAAACTCTTGCTCAAGGACTTTAATAAGTTTTTCATGCCCTCTTCTCATGCTATCATTTTTAGTTCTAATATTCCAAAAAATTTCTAAATTTTTTTTTTCATAGGCCAGAATAGGGTACTTATTCATAGGCCAGAATAGCCTTCCTTTTCAAATCTTTTTCTTATTGTCCGTTTTAACCTTTTCCTCTCACATAAGAAGCATATTTCACTAGGAAAAAAAAACATTTTTTCATGTATTATTATGCTC